AACTAAATAGTGATATAACCTAAAATTCATAGAAGATCTTATAGAGAAGCAAGAAGCAGCTTTATATGATTATTGTAGCATCCTAACAAAAGTAAATCTGAATCAACATGAATCATATATTATATATACATAGGTACACAACATCAGTGAGACATATATTCAAAAACTAAATATTTGAACATATAAACCTTAAAAAGAAGAACTATAGAAATATTAATGACATAAAACAAAACACCAAAAAATTAGTAAGAAAGTTATTCTCTAAATCAAATGTATGCATGTCGAAGTTGGATAATTCGTTAGATGTTATTACTATGATTTTACGTAATAAGATTTGTAATTTTATAATTCAAAATAGTTAAAACTACATATTATGTTTTAATTTTGTTTTATATAAAAGAAAAATTCTATAAATATATTATCATTTTGATAATTTGAAAGATATTAGCCAAAAAAAACAAACCAAATTACTAGTACAGATTTGCGCGTACCGCGAATTAAAAGCCTAGTAAGTAAAATTTGAAATTTAATGCTATAGGCCTCTAAGAGTGTCCACATATGATTTAAAAGATTCGATTCTATTGGTACACATCATCGCCATCTATAGTTAATTATATATTGTATATTAAAATTAATTAATTTATTTTTATTGTTACAAGTAAAATTTCTAAATTTTAATTAATTTTATTTTTGTTGTTATTAGGAAAGTTTCTAAATTTTAAGTTAGTTATTAATAAGAAAAAGTTTAGAAAGTATATCTTATTTTTCTATTAAAAATAAAAAGTAAAATAACATATAAATAAATTATGAAAGAAATCTCATATAAATTGAACAAAATAATTAAAAACTGTATTTAAGACCAAAATTAAATTATTTCAAAATTTTAATCACGACATACAATTAAAATCTGAACTGCTAACTTAAAATATATTAGTTGTGGTCTGTGTTATTGTCTTAGGCCAATGAGAGCTTCCACATATGACGTAAAAACTCAATTTGATTGGTCTATAACATTTTTCAAAATTATGAAAGAAAAATCATATATATTGAACAAGATAATTAAAAACTGTATTTAAGAGGCCAATGAGAGTGTTTACATATGACGTAGAAACTCAATCTGATTGGTCTATATCAGCATTTTTTATTAAACATAAAAAATATTAAATATGATTTGTAATTCGAATAAATTAAAACATACAAAAATATAAAATTATCATAGTAGAATAGAAAATTAAGATAAATAAAGTTTAACTAAAAAAGCAGATAAAATAAAATTATGTCAAAAATCCAAATTTATAACGTTTGTCAAAATAAAATGGAAACTCATTATCCCAAAAGCTAAACTAACAAAAACTAATATGTAAATCAATAACAAAAAAAATAATTTAAAAAAAAAGAAAAAATTTAACTTATATATTTAAAAAAAAAAAAATTTAAAACTTAAAAATGAATATGTAAACATATATTTTTAATATATATAAGGTTATTAACTCGCTAAAAATAAATTTTATAACAAAATAAATTTTTCTTTAGTGCATATATTTCTAAATTTTATTAATTTCGTTTTTTTTGTTATTAGGAAAGTTTTTAATTTTAAGTTAGTTATTAATAAAAAGAGTCTAGAAAATAAATCTTCTTTTTTAAAACATATTTATATTAAGAAAATATAAATATATTTAGTTTAGAAAAGAGTTTTAAATGAGTAATTTATTTTAAAAACAATATTAAGATTAAATTTTATATAAACATATAAAATTGTTATTTAAAACGACAAATACTACTAAAAAATATTCATGTTAAATTAACAAAAGAAAAAGTCATATAAAACTTGATATTTAGCATAATTCTTTAGAAAATTAACACAGAAAGCTTAACTAACCAAAAAGTAATACTTTATGCTAATTACTGAAAAACGCAATATAAAAAAAGTTCAACTAACAACATACGAAACATAAATTATTTCTGGCAACATGTCAATACAATTAAAGTGAAAATCTATATTAAATTAACAAAAAAAGAGGATGTTAACTTGATATCTATGTTATTTATTTAAAAAAATCAATATAAACAGACTAAGTAATAGAATAAAAAAAACTTTAGTAATACTAAAAAACTTAACAAACAAAAATAATATAAATATATAAGCTAATTATTTAAAAATAAATATTAAAAAATTAATTAACTAAAACAAAATAAAATGAAAATTAAGTTTTACAAAATGTTAAATTTTTTAAAAAATCACCTAAAAATATATTGACTTGATATCTGACTAACTACTTAAGAAATCCATATAAAAAAAAATAACTAACAAAAAAATACAAAATAAAATTATGCCTTCAAAATATCAATATATCAAAACAACTTTGTGTTAAAATAAAATAGAAATCAATATCAAGAGAGGTAAATTATCAAATGAAAAAGTCGTATAAAGTAAAATTAGCTTGATATATAGGCTAACTAACAAAACAAAATTAACTAAAAATAGTAAATGATGGTATAAGTTTTTGAGAAAAGTCCACATAAAATTTAGAATAACCAGTTATAGCATGTCAAAATAGCATTTTAATTAATATAAAAATAAATGTAACAAAGAAAAAATATTTAAGTAAAAGATAGTAAATTGATATATATGCTATCTATTTGAAAAAATCAATAATAAAAGAAATCGACTATAAATATATATGTTTTAAGTATATCAAACATGCAAAAATTAGATAATTAAAATAAAATATAAAATTACCATCGAAAATATGTAAAACAACAAAAAATAAGATCTAAGAAGAAAATTAGTTTGAAATTTAGTTCCATAAAATTCACGATTTCTAAAATATTAGTATTGACTATGAATAACCATATAAAGTTATGATAGGTTATACAAGTTTCTAAATCAAAGATATTATTTAAATATACAAAGACTAATATTTTGGATGCGTCTGGTTTAAAAACTAAAAAAAAAATACTACACAAGTAACTTTACATTCAAAATATAACAAGTAATAAAATTTGATTTCTATACATAGTTACTGCTTATAACTTAGCCAACATGAACAAGACATGAGTAACACCTTCTAAAATTTCATTTAAATAATAAAGTATGACAAATTTATGAATTAAATTCAAATTGAAATATATCTAGATAAACTATTCAAATCAAAACATGAATAAAACACACAAAAGATAAAATAAAAACAGTGATAATATGAAGACTCTACGCCATCTTACATGTTTAAAAACAAAAATTAGCAAATAGTGGACTGCAAATAAAGCAGATCTTATAAACTGAATAGAAATATAACCTAAATTTCATAGAAGATCTGGTGGAGAAGCAATAAGCAGTTTTACACGATTATTGTAACAACCTAACAAAAGTAAATCCGAATCAACATAAATCATATATTATATATGCATAGGTACAAAACATCAGTGAGACACTTACTCAAAAATTAAATATTTAAACATATAAACCTTAAAAGGAAGAACTATAGAAATTCTAAGGACACAAAACAAAACATCAAAAATTTAGTAAGAAAATCATTTTCTAAATCAAACGTATGCACGTCGAAGTTGGATAATTTATTAGGTGTCATTACTATGATTTTACTTAATAAGATTTATAATTTTATGAACTAAAAATAGGAAAAATTACATATGTTTTAATTTTATTTATATAAAAGAAAATTTCTATAAATATATTATAATTTGATAACTTAAAAGATAGTAACCAAAAAAAATATAATCAAATTATTAATACAGATTCGCGTAACACGAATTAACAGCCTAATGATTTTAAAATTTTGACCTCGTTTTAGGCGTTTGCATTTGGTAAATAAATTAACTTCCATATTGATGTTGATAGGCATTTGGATTTTTATAGTCGATTGGACCTAAAATTCTTGGGCCGATTGTCCAAACACCTATGCATGAGTCCCATCTAATATATGTAATTTTTTTTTATCAGTAAATCTATTTAAATTAGATATTGTTTTTTTGTCTAAAAATTTATTACCAAGAAGATCAAAAATCTAAAGAGTGTTTATCAAGAAAAATCTAAAGAGTAAAAAAGCCCAACATGCCCCGAAGAATAACAACATTAAACCAAACAGAGAACGAAATAAACAATGAAACAAGTCCTTCAACTTCTCTAGCTTCCTCACGAATACGAATCACGAACCCAAAACATTTGGATCCATTACAATAAACAATCGAACACTTTAACACCCAAAATTTTCAGGACTTCCGAACCATTTCAAAGTATTGGTGTCAATAAAAAAGAAGGATTATGAACGAAAGTGATTGAAATTCAACTCTCTCTACTTAATACTCCCTCTGTTTTAAAATAAGTGTCATTTTAACACTTTTCACACAAATTAAGAAAGTTAACAAAAAGTCTTTTCTATCCCTAATAAATACACTAAATAACTCTCTCTTTCTAATTAATACATTCAAGTAACAAGGTTAAAACTGGATATTTTGTTATAAATTTGCATTGAAAACTTAAAACGACACTTTTTGTGAACCAAAAATAAAACTCTAAAACGACACTCTTTATGAAACGGAGAGAATATATTTTATGTTTATATAATATATTCAAGGCGCCACCAGACGCTTTTTAACATAAATATATATATTAAAAAAAACAGAGTGAGAGAGGCTTGAAAGTTAAGTCGCAAAGGAAATGCCTTCGTCATAGCTTAACTTGCAATCAAAGTTTAAAAAAACAAATTTTACTCAGAAGGGCCTAACGTTCACGTCAATCATCAAACACACACATTCAGAATCTTCCATTGTTATCAATTAGGTTTTTGATATCACTACTTAGAATTTTCCCACCAAACACTGAAAGAACCATTTCAGCTGTGGATTAAGTAGAGTCAAGAAAAAAATGAAACCAACAAACGAAAAAAAACATAGAAAGAAAGTATTGAAGTCCTCAGAAATAACTCCAAGCGCAAATGTGAAAAGGCTTCTCTTTGTCTCTTATTGTTTCTCGACTCAAAAGTGAAAAGAAGAAGAACTCACTAACGGAGAATGAGTTCGAATGGAGAGAAGAGAATGATGAAAAGGTCAGATTTTGCACAGAAGTTGTTGGATGATCTTCGCGTAAGGAAGGAGCAACTTTCAATCTCTCAGAATATAGGTAAGATTGAACAAACCTTGATTCCTTGTCATACATTTCCTTTGTTAGATATCTAACTAAATGTTTTAAGCTTAAGAATACAGGTAAGATTGAACAAACCTTGATTCCTTGTCATAAATATTTTATTGTAGTTCTGTTTTAAGCTTAAGATTAATATAATCAGTTGAACAAAAAAAAAAATCTGACTAAATGTAGAAGGATCCAACCAAAGCTAATATGCTCTTATCTAATTTTTGCATCTTTATATAATATAAAACAAGAAAACGGGTTTTGACATATTAGGACAACCTCAAGAGTTTTGGATCGAGCATCAAAGTTCCATTAAGGAATCAAAAGATTCATAATGTGATGTGGTAGCAGAGTCGTGCTTACGTTTACAGAGACCCTGCATAATTTTTAAGAAAATTTTCATTTATAAAACAATATAAAGTCAGAAAATAAAGTTTGACAGATTTATTTTAGGATTTTACCTAATTTTGTTCCAAATTTTTATTTTAGTCTACCTTTAGTATCTAACTTTGAAAAACAAAAGTCTCATAGGTGCATCTTCAATACAAATGACTGCTAAATTATAATTAAAAGGTGTTTAAATACCACCCTTAGACTTGTATTTTAAAAAATTATGTCTGTTTCAATGTTTACACCAACTAAAGTACAGTATATGAATTATTAAAGCTCTTATAATAAGCATAGCCTGTGAATTGCAACTAACTAGCTACATAACAAATCCTTGTAATTTTAATGTTGGCTTTCGTGGTTGCAGATAACTATGCATATTCTAACAGAGGATTTAAGGGATCCAAAGAAAGAAGAGCAAAATCAGTAAGCTGTGAAACAACTTTCAAACTTTCAAAGTCCACAATGAATCTTACCATTATCTAAATAGTTTGTTTGGTTGCAGACAACATTTCAAGATTTCAACTATGGAGGAACTAAATTATTCACTAACGACATAGAGGCTTCAAATCAGATACTTCCTTACGGAAAAGGCCGGGGCATGGAGAAAATCGATTTGTCGAAAGCATTAGCATTTGCACTTGAAAATGCTGGAAAGGCTACAAGAGAAGATCCTTCGGGAAGTGCCTCAATCATTAGTTTCCTCCATGAAGTAGGAAAGAGATCGTTGGGATATGGATCAGCAGAAAGAAGAAGCACTCAACAACAACCTTGTTCAAGCAGTCAACAACTTCCCATGGTTCATGTTCATATCAAAGAAATCTCAAAGGGTGCCCAAAAACTGAATCAGATCATTAAAGCATGCAGCAATGGCCTAAGTTTTCGTAAAGGAAAGTACTCGATACAATGTGGGGACCAACTCATGGAAGGCGCCATTGAATTGGAACAGTCTCTTCGTTTGCTTGTAGACATTCAACAAGCTTCTTCTGATTACTATACCAAGAAACAAAGGAAAAACCGAATCAAGCTTCTTGAAGAAAATGATGATGATGAAGAGGAGGAGGAGGCTCCAAATCGAAACTATCGAAAGATCAAAGAAGTCGCAAAGGCGGATATTGGGATGAGACTATTGGCACTTAACTATCCAGAGGATAATAACTACAAACACAGAAAGCAAACAAGTAGTTGCGAAGATACCGAGCAGAAACCTCCTAAGGGAAGGATTCCAAATGTTGTTGCGAAGTTGATGGGATTAGGGGAGTTTCCAGAAGATGAAAAAGAGGCCAAGGACAAGAATGATGAGTCCATCAAATCTGCGGAGAATCTCACAAGGCGTAGAGTAACGCAACCTAGTGAAAACGTTCTTGAAATGAAGACACAAAGGAACTCAACATCACTGGATTTAGTACTCCATAAAGAGACTCAAAACCCCACGCATGAAATAAATTACAAAGCCAAGTCTGACGAGAAGGATGATTTGAAAAGCAGAAAAAGAAACAAGGTTTCACACAAGAAAGATGGTGAATCGAGGACAAAAAATGTTATCAGAAAGCATTCATCCCCAACAGAAAATAGACATAAGGTTATCTCAAAGAGCCAACACAAGCCTTTAGATAATGCTGATTTTGAGAAGAAAGATGAGGAAGAAAAGAGCACTAAGAAAGCAAAGTTGCAGCAAGAAAAGGGCGTAATGGCCAATCATTCACCAAAACTTTTGAGTTCATTGGATATACAAACGAAGCTACCAGTCACAAACAAAGCTAAAGCTCAGAGGAAAAGCTTTTCTCATGTTGAAGCAGCGCAAAAGGAAAAAGAGGGAGAGGTGCATAAAGCCGAGATGCGCGAGAAGAAAAATCAATGCATCTCTATTACAAATGGAGGGTTGTGCAAAGTAATGAAGCAACCTGTGAATCAGAAACCTATTTCCAAAGAAGCAAATGGAAAACATGATCAATTACTCAGAAGATATAGTGATAGTAACAAGATAAAAGCAGAGGAAGCAGAGACATGCATCAAAAGTTCTAAGTTTTCAGGTGTTGAGGTCCAATCACCAAAAAAAAATGTGTTAGAGCAAAAGAGAGAGATCAAAGATGACTCAATTCTGCTTATCACCGCCGAGAGAGTCCCATGCCAAGCTTCATTAGAAAACGTAAGCTTATTATTAGTAACTTGACATACCATTTGTATACATTTTATATCTAATCGGTTTCGGATGTGGAGCAGCATCATGAGCCTATGTTTACAGATGAGATGGATCAACAAGCTTCATTATCAAAGTCTGATGGAATTTCAGAGAGATTATCCAAGACAGTATATAAAGGTAATAAGCAAATAATGCACTTTCAGTTTGTTCGTTGTTATTAACTTATTATTATCTCATTGCACTTTTAAAATCACAAATAATCCAGTATTATAAAAGTTTAGAGTCCACGCACTCACTTGTATTGATACATGTAGGCAAATGTTGGGGTGTGAAAAAAGAAACCACAACCAAAAAAACCTTAATAGTTAAACCGAGACCGAACCGTAATTGAATTTTTAATAAACCGTTTGTTTTTATCATTTTCTGTAAATAAAGAAACCAATCCAAAACCGTTTCTATCTAACCAATTCAACAAACCGAGATTCAATAATATTTTATATTGAATTATGTGTGTCTATTGAAAATAGAAATAATTCCATAAATAAATAATTATTTGTTTCTAATTTAAATTCATCTTTAAACTATAATCAAAACCAAAATGAAAAACCAAACCGGAACAAACTGAAATTGCTTCAAACATAACTGAAACCGAACCAAATAACAAATTGTTTATACAGTTTCAGTTTTTTAAAAACCAAAATTCGTACTGAAACCAAACCGTGAATGGGATAGCCAACCGTAGCCAAATGTGTCAAAACATATCCAAGGTTATGCTTGCTCATCATGACAGAACCACAATCATTCGCGCAACAAGTCGAAGGTTTGTGTTTTTGGTTGAATAAATTTCAATTGTTTCAGGAATCAAAGAGGAGGTGGAAGCTGATGTACCCTTGTTGGTGAAGCAACAAGAACACGGAAAACAAGAAACTACAAAGAAGTTATCTGAAAATGAAATAAACCTCAAGAAAATAGTTGTGAAAAGCCAACTATTTCTAGACACAGCAGAGGCATTTTTCAAACTCAACATTCCTCTCAATGTCCTTCATGAAGCCGGTGGGAACTGTTACTATCAAGAAGACAAGAATCTACTACTTGACTGTGGCTACGAGCTAATGAAGCGAAAAGGAAGATTTCAAGAGTTAAGTGTCCATCCTTTCGTGAAGGTACCCATCAGTACCCCTAAAGTAAAATCATTGGACCATCTTGTTATACAATTAAGCAAAGAGTTTGATAAACTGAAAGCCTACGGTAAGCAGTGCTACACTGAATCACTTGTAGAAGACTACTTGCCAAAGGTGTTGGAAAGAGATATTCACCATAAAGACCCAAACCTGAACTCAATGTGGGACATGGGATGGAATGATTCGATGCTCGCCTTCATCGAGAAAGATGATGTTATAAGGGACATAGAGAGGGAAATCTTCAATGGACTTATGGAGGAGATAACCAGAGATCTTATATGCATATAGGTGTACTCTCTTAATTTTTCCTGGTCAAAAGTGAGCTCTCGTTCTAGGCTTGAGACAATTCACTAATGTTTTATTTGAAAATATACTTTTTCACCTCTTGTGAGCAAGCAGAGTGAGATTCTTCTGTGGGTTATATCAATCAAATTGATGTCATAAATCTAGTAGATTCTATATAAGGTTTTATTCTTAGCTCTTTAATTATATATGTATTGAAACCTATTTAGTTTTATCCATGAAGTGATTGTACATACTTAGAGATGGTTCTAGCTACGATGGCAGAAGATAATTGCACTTGATATGTATTTGTTCTAGGTGGAGAAGTAAACTTTAAGAGGACCGATGAGCTTTGATCCCAACACTAAGTAGTTGAGGTCCTTCATGACTGCCCAAATAAATATCACACTAGATTTTGGACCCGCGCCATGCGCAGGTTTTCTTTCAACGAAAATTTTTTTGGGCCTTAGGAATGTTTCGAACAACAGATTGTGAAATATAAGTATGGCCCAAACAGACCCAAAAGCTTTAACAATTTAACTCGTCCAGTATAATCTACATCCGAAATCTAATTGAGTCATCATTTATTATATTGTGTTGGGCCATTGGAATTTAAAAAGAACGAAACATATTTGTTACGAAACGGCCCAAATGAGTATACGACAATCCGTAAATAACGAAAAGACAAAATATTCATTGTCCGGATTTGAAAAAGTTTCACTCGAGTGAAACCTTAAAATATCGATCAAACAACAAATCTGGATAATTTTCCTTTCCTTTCATGAACACATCATCGATTCTTAGTTATCTCAAGAATTTTATCACAAAGCCTGAATTTCTTGAATGATCTGAGAGAATGGTGAAGGTGCATTGCGAAGAGAGAGATTTAGGGAAAATCTTAGCAATTTGGTAAGTTTTAGTGTAGTTCTTCTGTATTAGTTTGACCCGTTTCAGCATTTGATCGAATTACACAATTATGTTTATATTTTGAAAAGAATTTTCGATTACTTCGATCCAATCTGGCCTAATATTTTTTTTTCCAATGAATCAGATCATTAATTTCATGGAATCAGGTAGGAGAGATAACACTAATTAGGTAATATGATAGTATTTTTCCAGCATATAGCTAGAAACTTTAATCTTCTTTACGTTTCTGAAAATGATTATGAATTTTTCTATTTTTATTTTCATCTAAATATTACAATGACGACGGTTGTTTGAAGAACCACATAATCTCATATTTAATAACTACATATATAAAGATAAGTTTTTTTTCATAATTGATAAAGAAGATATAATAATCTGATTAAATATTTTTCTCCAGTAATAATTTTTTAACATGTCATTTTTTTTTGCAGAAGTATAACATATCTGACGTAAAAAGATATTGGTCCAATGTTAAATCGATCAAATACTACAATTTCAATCATATAATGCATTTGTAAGTTGAACTTTCCTTTTAACGCATATTTTGGTTATGTATTTGTCTCTGACTGTTAAACTAATGTAATTTCAGTTAGAATTACAGATGCAAAAGATTAGAAGAGGATATCAGCAGAATAAATATCCTACAAAGGTAAAGATTAAATATTAAATCGTATTCCATTTCCGTAAGCACTATATCATGTCTATATAGAAAAATCTTATATATTAATACACTCACATTATCATCACCATGGATCAGCTCCAATGTTTGACCAAATTGGGCGGGATTTTTATTAGTTTAGAATAAGATATACTTAGATATGATTGAATAGTTTCCGAGATTTGCTAAACCGATTACTTACTTATATCATTCCTTTAAATTTCAGGATATTGTTTATGTAATTCATTATATGCTTGGACCTTTAAAGATTCCGAATTTATTCATACCGGTTTTCCTTGTGTTTGGTATTATAGGTTAAAATTTTACAGTTTAGATGCATTTACTTAATTCTTTAGTTATAAACAATCTTTGTCTTCAATCTTCATTGCTGTTCGAACATCATCAATGGTGGTTCTCAAATGAAACATTGGTATGATCAAAGTAATCCCAGATATTTACCTGCATCCGTTGAACTTTTGATTAGATTATTTTAATGAAAAATTTTAGGATATTTGAGATTATGGTTCATGAAGAAAGACATATCGAAGCGAAAATGGTTTACATCATTGAAGGACATATGAATAGTTAGCAGTATAATTCAAGATAACTCACGTGTGGAATACTAATGTTTAATGTAATATTGAGGACATATTATCAGTTGGTTATTCATAGTATTAGATAGGTATGATTAGTGTAAGATTAAGTCAAATGTACCCTTAATGAAATAATTAAATTTTCTAGCAAACCTAATGACATAACTTGTAAATATTATAGTATGGATTGGACATTTATTAAGAATGATTTTCTTTTAATAGTTTGGATTATGAAACGAAATTTTTTATTGTGTTGCAATTATTAGGAAACTACAACGGAGATGCGATTGACAAAATCCATTGCAAAAAACTTGTCACAATTTTGCAATCTTGATGCGATTTTGTGACGAAATTGAGATATTTTTTTAAGATTTTTGTCGCAAATTTCGTGATGGAATGTTTTGGACTAATCTACAACGAAAATACAGCCACAGAGTTCCTAGGAAACGGTAGTTGTAATTATGTTTCAAATACAAGATCTTCGTAATTCAAAATATTGTGATAGAGTTGCAACGATTGTTGTTGTTGTAATTAGTCACAGCGGAATTTTCATGTCCTTCTCAAAAAAAAAAAGGTCGCAATGCAATAGATGATGTCGCAAGTCTCTCTTATAATTTAAAAATCAATATGTAATTAATTTTAAAAATATATATTTCAAAACAAATCTACATATACCGAAAAATAAGTCAGAAAATTTCCATTTGAGTTGATATATATGGTTGAGTTAAACACAACCAGCAGGAGAAAATTATCTAAACCTGTTAAAAACGATTATTACCAGTCAACGATGAAATTTGTTGGAAGCCAGTTTGCATTACAAAATGATTCAAATAAACCAAGTTTGAAATTCTGGTTCAATTGTTACACCTTTTGTGCTTTTTTTAATAATTGTTTGCCTCTTTTAGAGAAAAGCAAGCAAACAATAGTTTAAACATGCTTTATCTTTTTCTTGTGCCACAGCAAAAGCGATTTCGTCTTCTTTTCTATTATTCTTTTTCCATCTTTGTGGTAGATGTTGAAGTGTCTAATTCCTTGCTCTCCTTCTCCACCAGCTTCGTCGCATTGCTCCATTTCTTAGTAGAGAAGGAAAATCCAATTGACAAAAGGCCTACAATAAATAGCTAATTGTGTGATTTATGTCTCACTTTTTTCATGCAACTAATTAACTAAAGACACTTTAGGTTTTTAATCCACTTTATGGTCTCTTTTAAATGTCCTGCAACACGTACTTATACATAACCGTGATGTATTTTGTTTTTTTTATTGGATATATGAATTGTATCAAAATTTAGGATATCCGTGTTTTATAAAACGCCTTACTAAATTTGGAAAATAAAATATGTTCTAGGAAATATTTTCCACAAGCTCACCGGTATATTTAAAATTTCAACTCGCTTCTATAACCTACCAACATAATGTAAGCAATGTTCTGATTCTAAAAGAAGTAATTCTTGACTTATATATAATCAAGAGTTCTTGTTCTGTTAATTAAATTACTGTTCCCGAGTGTTCTGTATAGATCCAATAGTGTTCAATTATAAAACATAGATTAAGAGTTCACCCATATAAATCCAAAGATAAAGTCATAATCCATACAAAAAGGACATGTGTAACCCTGTCATATCAATTAAAAAAAATTCATATTAAGTCGGTTCTGCACGGATTTATCCCATATGTATAAACTATTAAACTATTAGGATAAATACGTACAATAATAGAATGAAAAGCTCAGCTGAATATTGAGATCATAGGCCTCATTTGCAAATTGCAACGAAGGTATATATATGTGTGTGTGTAGTCCGACTTAAAATCATTGAACTCAGTTGAGTTATAAAAAGTTATAACACTCACCACAATTAAAAAGCTTTCATAACTTACTACCAAATGGTATGGTAATTTGTGTCAAGAAGTTGTAATAATATATCACTACGAAATGATATGGTATTATGGAAATGTATAGTAAAAAGCTCTTCATATGTCAGACAGGAAAAAATGCTTAAATGCATTTCAATTTCAAAGGTATTCACTAACTTACGTTGGTCCCAACTCCAGACCAAAAAGAGAGTCTTCATGTCCTTTTACCATTTAAAATTTGTAGTGTGGTTAGAAAAAGAAAAGTTACATTTACCTTTACAGCATCGGTTGTTTTCTGCACCTATATCTATAGATTACCCACTTCTACCAGATAGTTCTTTGTAATATAGCGAAACAAACAAAACAGAGTTTATATACAGGAGAACCGATAGAAATAAAAAAACAGAGCAATAAATCCAACCATGGCGGCTTCTGCTTATCTATTGATCCTACTCTTCTTCTTGTCTTTACATGCTCTTCATCTAGCAAGTAAGTTCATTTTCAAAAACCCATTAACAGTTTCATCTTTTAATATATTATATCCTCTAAAATGGATTCTTGCCCATGTATCAAACAGAGTCTCAACCGTTTATCGGAGTAAACTACGGCCAGACCGCCGATAATCTTCCGCCACCGTCAGCAACTGCAAAGCTTCTTCAATCCACAACTATCCAAAAAATCCGACTTTACGGAACCGACCCGGCTATAATCAAGGCCCTAGCAAACACAGGGATCGAGATCGTCATAGGAACAGGTGACGTAAACGGTTTAGCATCAGACCCGAATTTCGCCCGGAGCTGGGTCGAAACCAACGTGGTCCCTTATTACCCGGCGAGCAAGATCACTCTCATCACCGTGGGCAACGAGGTCACAATGTACGGTGACCGCAATCTCATGTTACAGCTCCTACCGGCTATGAAAAATGTCCAAAGTGCCCTCGAGGTGGCATCTCTCGGTGGCGGCAAAATCAAGGTCTCGACGGTACACACAATGTCGGTTCTGGGCCAGTCCGACCCTCCTTCAGCCGGGGTATTCGAACCGGGCCATGCTGATATATTGAAGGGGTTGCTAGAGTTTAATAGGGAGAACGGGTCGCCTTTCGCGGTTAACCCATACCCATTTTTCGCTTACCAGACCGACCCGAGACCGGATACGTTGGCGTTTTGCTTGTTTCAGCCTAATCCTGGGCGTGTCGATCCCAACAGCAAGATCAAGTATATGAATATGTTCGATGCTCAGGTTTTACTCCACCTCTTTACTTCATTTTGCCATATTTTAAGTTCTTAGCTAATTACATTTATTACTTTTTATTAACGGAAATTCCGTGCACAAGAAGATAATAACTTTTTCTGTTCACAAAAGTACTTATTTAATGAAATTCCTTGATATTTTAGTAGAATTCTTCCTTTTTCTTTGGATTTACGTTTTAAATATTTTCGGTTCGCTACGTCAAATGAATGAAAACTAAAAAATGTGCTTTTCGAGGAGAAGTAGTATAAAAACAGTAATGGACACAAAGTGAGTACCTTCTCCAATTAGTGGAATGAAGAAATTTGCTATCAAAACATGCAATGTCTTATTATTATGACAGGAGGAACATGAATAGAAGAAAGTGATATATGTAACATATAAAAAAGAAAAGAAGAATTATATGACATTAAATTTGGTTTGTGAAGGTTGATGCGGTGTATTCAGCTTTGAACTCTATGGGGTTCAAGGACGTAGAGATAATGGTGGCCGAGACTGGGTGGCCGTATAAGGGAGACCCGGACGAGGCTGGCACAAACATTGAGAACGCTAGAGCTTACAATAAAAACCTAATCGCTCATTTGAAATCCATGGCAGGGACGCCGTTGATGCCCGGGAAAGTTATCGACACCTACTTGTTCGCATTGTACGACGAAAATCTCAAGCCCGGGAAAGGTTCTGAACGAGCCTTTGGCCTGTTCAAACCTGATCTAACCATGACTTATGATATTGGGCTCACCAAGACTGCCAATAACCAAGTAAGTTTTCATCACAAGATAAATCCCATTTGAAACTAATTGGATTTAACGGAACTGGAACCAAAATCATATAGAGAGAAACTGATCGGAAAAGAGAATTTAAAAAATGTAAACCGAATCAGTGTTACTTTTACTGAAAGTAAACAAATCAAAACTATATATTTCTTTGAAAATCATTTAAATAATCTATGAAAAATTAAAATCTGAACAAAACTGTATTAAAAACCAAATGGAATAAACAGGATGTTTAATAGAAAAAAAATTGGAAACTGATAAATCCGAACCAAAAACTGGATTCCTTGACACCATAGTAATAAGAGTCATTGGAACATAAAGCTTACTTAAGATTTTGATTTATACTATGTTACTCTTAAGGTTACTATTTCGATATTTGGCTAAACAAATCCATAAGTTATTTTTGTAACGTCTCTCAGAGTTCCATGGCTCCACAGTCGCCAAGGCAACGTCTCCCACCCGCCGCTTCTCCGACGAGTCAAAACTTACCTTCTCCGCCGCAAATGATCCTTCCTTCACCTACTTCTCCATCCGACAAAAATTCTGGACAAACCGATGTTCACAATTCTACTCCACGCTCTGCTTCTCTAGCTCACTTATGTTGTTCTCTTTCTATTTCGACAACGATGTTGTTTGTCTCTATTTTGTATGCATTTATCATATAAATTGTTGAGTCTTCTCATCGATATCTGAAGTGTGAAATATATATTACTCGTTAGTTGTTACGCCACATTAACGTTTAAAAAGCTGCGACGTGTCCACACATCATTAAAACAAAACGATAGTCTAATGAATCAATGATCATGAAGACAGATTCTAATGTTTATTAGGTGTTGGCCGGCGCGCCGCGCGGACATATAAACATTCGATAATTTGTTTATCAAGATAATTGAACGAAAACAAATAAAAATATAATTATAAAAGCATATTAATAGAATAGCTTTCATAAAAAAGCTTAACATTGATAAACCAGATAATTTTAAGAGCATTTAAATTGAAATGAGTAATCATATAAACAGTAACCATATAAATAAGAAGCTATTTATAAGCAGATCAAGATTTCAGAGGTTTTTAAAGGAAAACACAACAAATTACAATTAAACAAATTAACAAAACTTCCTAAAAGAAATAACAATACATTTAATTAATAAATATGAACTTCCAGTATACGAAACACATTCTCAGCACAAGTGTATATATAACTGCTGAACTATGGAGAAGAAGCATGATCATATTAACCATCTTCTGCTTCACTATCCTCAATTCTATACAAAGTTAATCGTTAGTTTACAATAGACATATTAGACTAAATAAAAAACAGTTAGTTATACATTTACATCGCGTCTTTCAACTCGTGAGCCTCTTGGATATCATGATCAAATTGGAATCTTGATATCTCAACACAATCGAAAACACGATATTTATCTAACCAGAATTTCTAAAAAAAAACTTATTGTATATATCATAAAAACTAAAAATATTAGGTTTTTGAAAAAAAATAGACTGACTGATATCTCTCATATTTACATCACTTAGGCTTGCATTTAGTTCATGTTTTGGTTTCCTTTTGCATGTTTTCTTTCTCTTTAGTCCCATTTTCCTTTCCTTTTAAACTTATGTTGTATTTAGGTTGTAGTTTGCATTCTCTTTGCATTAAGGATGTTTTTAGGTAGCAAAGGAGCATTTTTGGAGCAAGGAGGAAGCATGGGGATAATTCAAGGAGTTGCCCAAGCTGAGGAGGAGCAAAAAAAGTTAAGGAAGATGACTTTTGGTGCAACATCGATCATAGCTGGATCAACATTGTACAATGTGAATCACATCGATCAAGCTTGGAGTCTACATCGTGCGATGTAAAGCAGCAGAGAATTTGAAAGTCCACATCGATCGCATGTGATCGATGTCAAGCCACAGGACATCCACATCGATCATCATCATCGTGCGATGTAATGGACCCGAGAGGACCCTAGAGACCCTGGTATGCTGATATTGCCAACTATCTTGCTGCAGAGGATGAACCACATGATTTCAAGGGATATGCTAAGAAGAAGTTCTTGAGAGAACTTAGGAGATTTTACTGGGATGAGCCATATCTTTACAGACATTGTGCTGATGGGATTTACAGGAGATGCTTAGCAGAAGCAGAGGTTCTAGACATCCTATTTCACTGTCATGGCTCAGAGTATGCTGGATACTTTGCCACATTCAAAACAGTCTCCAAAGTTCTTCAAGCTGGTTTCTGGTGGCCTACTATGTTTCTGGATGCTCAAAGCATTCATTACACGCTGTGATACATGTTAGAGGAGAGGGAAGTTTAGCAGAAGACATGATATGCCACAGAACTTCATTCTTGAGGTTAAAGTCTTTGACTGTTGGGGCATTGACTTCATGGGCCCTTTTCCCTCATCTTATGGGAACATATACATTCTGGTTGCTGTTGATTATGTATCTAAGTGGGTAGACGCGTTGGCTACTCCTACCAATGATGCTGCAGTGGTTTTGAAGCTGTTCAAGACTATTATTTTCCCCAGATTTGGTGTCCTGCGAATTGTTATCAGTGATGGTGGTTCTCACTTTGTTAACAAGGTCTTTGACAAGCTGCTTAAGAAGTATGGTGTACAGCACAGAGTGGCAACGCCTTATCATCCCTAGACCAGTGGAAAAGTTAAAGTTCCCAATAGACAAATCAAGCAGATTCTGGAGAAGACAGTTGGGAAGACAAGGAATGACTGGTCAGCAAAATTGGATGATGCATTGTGGGCTTACATGATTGCCTACAAAATGCCAGTTGAGACTACACCGTTCCATCTGCTTTATGGCAAGGTGTGCCATCTTCCAGTGGAGCTAGAGTACAAAGCATAATGGGCTATCAAGAAGCTGAACTTCGATTTGAAGCCTGCTGCAGAGAGGCGCTTGATTCAACTCAATGAACTGGATGAAATCAGATATCTGGCCTATGAAAACTCTAAGTTATACAAGGAGAGGACAAAGGCATATCATGATAAGAAGATCATCTCCAGACATTTCGAGCCTAACGAACAGGTACTCCTTTACAACTCTCATTTACAGTTGTTTCCTGGTAAACTGCGTTTTCGTTGGTCAGGTCCTTTCACTGTCAAAGAGGCTTGACCACATGGCATCATTCTCCTGATCAACTCCAAAGGAGAGGAGTTCACTGTCAATGGACAGAGGGTGAAACACTATTGGGCGCAAGCCGAGATTCCAGCAGGACATATTGTGTCTCTGGATGATGCACCAGCTGTCTAAACAGCAATCACAGTCGAGCTAATGACGTTAAACAAGCGCTTAGTGGGAGGCAACCCACTGGTAAGTTTTATATTTAGTACTTATTTTCGTACATATAATTACTTACTTAGTTAGTTATTAAGTTTTAATACAAAAAAAGGAAACAAACGAACTATGAGTGACGCTCGTCATCCGTCTGAGACTCAGGTATGCGATTTCCTTCTTTCTTCTTTTTCCTCGCTCATAACTGCAAAAACAATGAACACTTAGCAAAAAAATCACCAAATTGTAACTTTTGATTTTGTTAATCGAATTGAATGATTCAAAAGCCTAATCCGTGCGGATTTTAGTGCTCTTTCATAATCTCTAATCAGTTTTCAAGATCTGCAAGGTATGTGTTCGGAATCCTCAATTTTCAGTCTGTCATAGGTTTGGTTAATTTCGATTTTTGACTTGATTAGCTTGATTTAACTATTGAATCATGGTTAGTTAGGTTGTATTAGATGAATGCTACCATCCATATGTGAATTTATCGGTTGATTTGCAAGTTTTTGAAATTTTCAAGTTCATGATGAAATTTGCAAAAATCTGGAAATTTTGGATGTTGGGTTGAAGTTGTGATTGAATTGTGTTCCTGGTAGTGCTGTTGTTGATCGCCACTAATTAATTCACCATGATTCATTGATTTTTTGACTAAAAATCGGCTAATTTTGGTGAATTTTTAGTTGTTCTTGATTTGAATTTTCAGATGACTTGACATGAGAATAGACAGCGACCAACATCGTCTTCGAGCACTGCATCAGGTTCAGCGCAATCAGATAGCAGTAGACCAGTTTGCAGGCCTCCATGGCCAAAGCGAGGGGATCGGAAAATCGCATCAGGAGTTGCTTGGGCAGGGACTCCGAAGTAGGAAGTGGCGCGGGATACCTGTGTGTTCTGCAACATTCAGGAGGAGTGAGATGAGTATGACACGCTGTTCTACAATGTGTGGCAGGAGGTGAAGATCATTCCCACCAGATTCGCGGACACCACAGTGATGTGGAAGATGGGTATTCTGGATGAGGTGCTGCAGGTTCTTGAGAGGATCGGGATGGGTACAATGGCGTTACAGCAATATGATTTGTACCCCGATCTGATTTGCCAGTTCCTCTCTACCGTTCGCGTGTACTATGAGAACAAACTGGCCAGGACAGTGCAGCAGGGCACGATGACATTTCTGATCCGTGGGATTCGCTACAGGCTCAGTCTCTTTGAGCTTTGCGGGATCTATGGCTTCCCTGACCATCTATGCCAACAGAGCTGCAATCCGCCCTCCTGCTTTCCAGAGGAATGATTTTGAGCTCAAGCCTGCTTATTATCAGCTGGTGGGACAGCATCCTTTCCATGGCTTACCTCATGAGCATCCTATGGATCATATTTAGAGGTTTGAGGATTTGGCTTCAAGTGTCAAAACTAATGGAGTTAGCTATGACTTTCTGTTCTGCAAGCTTTTCCCTTACTCACTTGGGAGGAGATGCTACTTATTGGCTGAAGCAACTGGAGCCTGGTTCGCTGACCACTTGGGAGGACACCAAGAATGCTTTTCTGAACAATTTCTATGATGATGCTAGATCAGAGGACCTGAGGACGAAAATTGCATCATTTTCCCAAGGTCATACTGAAGCTTTTAAAGCTTCTTGGCTGAGATTCAAGTCTTATCAAAGGGACTGTCCTCATCATGGTTTTATGCTACAACTGTTTTGCTGTACACTTGCAGTAGTTAATTAATTGGGTAAAACCTGAGCCCTATCACACCCTTCCAAAGATCAGAATGCTCTTGGATACTGCATCTAATGGTAACTTTCTCTCTAAAGATGTTGATGAGGGAATGAAATTAGTTGAGAATCTAGCACAATCAGATAGGAATTATAATGAGGAGTTTGATAGAACTCCTAGGAGTGCTAAGGATGAGCTGGAGCAATACAAGATAGATATCAAAGCTCTTCATGAGAAGATTGATCTGTTGCTAAGGGAAAGGAAGGAAGTTAGCTTTGCTGGTGACCTGGTTCAGATTGAAGATCAAGATGCTTGCCAAGTTGAAGAGATGAACTATCTTGGGAATCAAGGAGATTATAAAGGTTATGGGAACTACAGAAACAATCCTAACCTCTCTTACAGGAGTAACAATGTAGCCAACCCTCAAGATCAAGTCTACCCACCTCAACAACAACAACAAGCTGGTCAAGCAAGACCTTATGTGCCTTACAACAACAACAACAATCAAAGCTTTCAACAAAGGAACAACAACTTCCAGCCTAGAGCGCCTTTCAACCCTCCATGATTCAATGCTCAAGCATCAGCTCAAGCCTCTTCCAGCACTCCAGACTGTGAGATCAAGAGTCTCATCCAACAAGTGCTTCAATCTCAGATCAATGGTACC